ACCAGTCAAACAAACAAAAAAAGACGATGCTAATTTTTTTCTTAACTGATTCCTTTTTGCAGGCAAGCTCACGTGTTCATGCACTAGCATAAAAAAGCCACATGAAATATAAAACAAAGAAGAAAATACCATATTTACCCGTATCCAAGACGACACTGAATTTAAGATACCCTCCTCCCCAGTAATTAGATTCTGTACATGGAAGATGTATACATTTGTTCTCATTTTCCATGTATACAGTCTAATTATTGGGGGTGGTTGTCTTAAATTCATCCTCCTCCCTCATTGCAGTGGGGAAAGCAGTGGTAGGGGCCCCCAGCAGGCAGTGGAGATCAGGTGGTGGAGGAGACAATAGGAGCAGGTGGGGGGCAGGCAACTTGCCCGTCATCAACTTATCCCCCCCATCGTGCCAGCCAACCCCAGCAGCCTCAGGCCCCCACTCCCATCACCCCCATACTCCCTCCTTACCCCCATCTTCCCCCTTATGCTGCTTCTGCCCGCCCCTGGCTCTGCTCTCTCCTGCCCCTCTCCTCTCTCCCCCCCACTTTCTTTTGCTCTGGTGCCAGCAGGCTCCATCTGAACTGCAGCATGGAGCATGGCCTCAGCAGGACTGCTGCTACAGGGCCAGGCTGGACCCATGCTCTATGCTCCAAGTTGGAGCTGGGATAGAGCCTGCTATAGCAAGGGTAAGTGGGGAGGAAGGGGAAGGAGAGGAATGGGGGAGCAGAGGCTGCAGGGAGAGGGACAGGAGGAAGGGGGTTAGAGAGGGAGATGGGAGAGTGGGGACAGGGGCCCAAGGCTGTATGGGGGAGAAACAAGGGGTGCAGAAGTGGCAGGGAGTGCAGGCAGCATCTGCAGCAACTCTGGTCCTGACCTGGGGTTGGGGCTGAAGCCACAGAAGCTGCCAGCCCCCTCACTGCTTCATACTTGATTCTAGGGCAAGGGGCTTTTTTTTTTCCATTTTAAATGGGGGGAAACCTCGTCTTGGAATTGAGTACATATGGTATCATCAGTCATTTTGTCTGAACTTGAGATCATGTACTTTAAAAATAACTTTGAATAATTATTTGAAAGCAGAAGCAAAATCTTTTGCTTTTGACTTTGCACAACAAATTCAAATTTCAAACTAATCCCCCAACGTAACAATTATTCTTTTAGTAAAAATTTTGGAGGAAAATTAGGCTCCGTTCCCAAAGCAGTTTAAAAGTAAATTGGATAGATTGATTAGGCCACCACTTCCCAGCCTTGACTGGTACATAGGCAGCACTGAGCAAGTAACACAGTGTGGGTAGTGTCCCACTTTTTTCTCCCTTATCAACCTCACTTTTAGCATTTTGGTTTCCTATGGCTGTGAACAACATTAGAAGAAGTTGTAAGCAACATGTTGCCAGTGATCCATGGTTTGAGGACTTCTGAGTTAAAAGGAACCATTTACCTAACATTATTCTTCTCTGTCAAAATTTTTGGATCAAGAAGTTCCCTTTGAAGGAATTGAAGGTGTTTTTCAGTTTCCAAGAGTTATTTTACAAAACCCACCTATAATAGGGGGCATCTCTACCCTTAAGAGGAGATAGCCAGACACATTGAGTAGCTGCAGCTGCAGGGAAGCTGCTATTAAGGGAGTGACTCACTGAGCATGTTTACACGTGTGTATTGATGCACTGCAATAAACTGCGATGCTTATCGTGTGTCTACATGTGCACCTGGGATCATAGCATGTTGAGCCAGGTCAGAGCCAGTTCAGCTGGCAGGTGGTTCTGGGGGTCAGCCTGCCCCCAACTCAGGGTGTTATGGAGGGGCTGGCAGGGGCACACGGGTGCTTCATTGCAGGACTAGCTGGCAGGCAGCCCCCACACTGAAGCACCTTCATGCCTCAGCCAGCCGGGCAGCATCTATACATGCACTGCTGTGGAGTTTTTTACTTTGCAGCAGGATAGTACTTGTATCTATAAGCACTATCCTGCTGCAGAGTAAATCAGTTTACTCTGGCGTAATTGGGGTGCGTGTTTAGGTGCACAATGTTTATTGTGCAGCTAATTAGTCTACCGTGCAATAAATGTCTCATGTAGACATGCCCGCTGAGAGCTTGAAAAGTCCCAGAGAGGAGAGCAGAGGGAGACTCTGAAGAAACAGTTTGGAAAGGAGGAGCTAACTGTGAATAAAACAGCTTGGGACAGCAAAGGGTGAGGCTGCTGTGCTGAGGTCCAGATTCAAAGGGGTTCCCCTCTGAGTGCTTGTGACAAGACATCATGGTTTGATTTATGGTTTGTTTATTTGCCTATATGTTTGTGGATTAAAGAGTATATGTGAGTTGGAAAGAGTAGCTGAAGAGCTGCTTAAGGAGCAAATCCCCCTGCCAGAAGCAGCAGGATAAGTACCCTGCTTATACCACCTTCATAGAGCCATGTTGAAGCCAAGATTAGTTGTGTTCACATGTTTCCAGATAGTACAATTCCACTTTTCATGGCAGGGCACCAAGGGGCCCTAGAAAAATGCTGGGTCAACCTTGAAAAAAGAATTTGGTGCCCCTTCGGAGTCACTTATATTCATCACCAAATGGCAGAAGGTTCTAGTCATCCATGGTTAATATAAATAGGTTAATATTTCACTTTTGGAACAGAAGAAAAGTTATCCCTGCCCCTGCCTCCCACTTCCTGTACCAATTAGAAGTCATACAAACTTCCCTCCAGGGACTTGTGAGACTATTTACAAACTGTGGGAAATTTCTGGGCTGCATAAGGCAGGGCTGTTGTTTAAAAGCAAAAACCTTCTGGGCATCAGCACTGTAGTAAAGATACTCCAATTATTGTAATTCATGTTTCATTATTTTCATGCCTTCTTTTAACACATAGGGACAGGTCCTGGAGGGTCTTGGCACACCCGGTTCCTGCTTATGCCAGTATGCATCTAGGGTTCTCTCACAGAATGGGGAAGTGTGACACCCACATAATCTTATCACTGATCTTTTCAGGAGTGATAACTCAGTTCAGTGCAGAACATACTAAATGGATATGAGAAGAGGAAAGGATCCCTTGAGCAAAGAATTCTTCTTAAACAGTAACCTGTGATTTAGTGTAAAGCCCCCTCTTGTTCCATACATGTAGCTATAAAGGAAAATTATTAAAAAATGCTCTTCCTCACTCTAAGAAAGTTTTAATGGATACTTCAAATACTGTATTTACCCAAAACCAAGATGACCATGAATTTAAGAAGACCCTCCCAATAATTAGAATCTATACATGGAAAATGTATACATTTGGTATAATTTTCCATGTATAGAATCTAATTATTGGAGGATTGTCTTAAATTCTTCCTCCCCCAGCCCGACACCCTAATGAGGAAAGCAGTGGTAGGGGGATCAGGCAATAGGGGGCAGGCAGTAGACAGGGCAGTAAGGTGGAAGGCAGTACAGCAGATGGGGGGCAGGCGGTAGGGCTCTCAGGTGGCAAGTGGGAGGACAGGCAGCTTGCCCCTTGCTGTTGACTCTCCTCTCACCTACTCCCCCCCACCACACACACACACCTTTTGTGTCTGCACATCCCCATCTGCAGCCTTGGGCAAGAGGTTCAGATGCAGTGGAGGGCATCAGCAGCTGCAACACCAACCCCAATGCAGTATTGGGGCTAAAGCCTGAGCTGAACATCTGTCTGACCCCCCACCTTCTGCCTCATACTCAATTACAAGGTGAGGGGCTTTTTTCCCCATGTTAAATGAGAGAGGAGGGAATCTCATCTTGGAATTGAGTAAATATGGTACTAGCTGCAGGAAACATAGAGAAGGAGGTACTTTCCTTCACACAGGGGATTACTGTAAAGCAAAGAGGTTCTAGGCATAAAACCTGAATCTAACAGACCAGCTGTTGTTTCAGCCTCACTCCACAGAAATCTGGTACACTGTACAATTTAACCAATCCCAATCTGCCCCTCTTACTACTGTCATTAGTTGTGCTATTTAAAAAGTGAAATGCATGGTGTGAGCAAGTGGAACCCCAGTGATTTCATAGAATCTGATCCCTTTCATTATTTTGCCTTGTGGCATGTATCTATTTAAAAAGCTACTAGACTAACCCACTATTTTTGGTTAAAGCAAGGTTATGTTTGACTGAACACTGGAAATCAAAAGATACCCCTTGGCTCTCTTGCATGTTTGACAGAAGTGTGAAATATGCCAAGTATGGAAAAGTTACTGAGTTTAAATGCTACCTGTTAAATGTTCTCCAAAGTGTGAATCCATATTTTGTTAGGTAATTACCCTATACTCTTATACTTCCTTTTAAAATTTTATTACAGTGATCTCTATTTTGTATAATTATTTAGAACTGCCTCCCTCCTACGAAGTTCATAAGATCTATTAATTTATGTTGTGTTTGAAAATAATATAGTAAAAATTTTAAATATCTTTGAATACCAGTTTGACATCTCAGTACTGAAGATATTTCTAAACATTGTAGCTGGAAATCACACTGTAGTATGAAACAATCAGCAGAAAAAAACTGTTGTAGCACTGTTATTTCTACTTTGGTAATATTACTATTACCATAATTCATTTGGGATATATACCCGCTTCCCACTAAGTGTTTCTATACTTAACTTTTGTGGGATGGAGATAACTTTGCCTGGTGATGCATCAAACCTAGTATTGCCTGTTTATCCAATATTACACTAATTCCACGTCCAATTAAGCCTTTTTCTGTGCAGTGATACACCGTCCAAATACTGCATTCTTATAAATAATTAAATAACAATAACAGCAGTGTTCATCAGTCTAACATCTGACAAAAAATGTCTGCGAAATCTAACACTTGAACAAGATACTCCTGAGATGGAAAATAAAGAAGATTCCTTAGTGTCTAGATATTATCATATTTCAAAATATCATTAGACAAACTATATTTTTGCTATCAAGAAACCAAGTCCTGTCTGTAGAATGCAACAGTGTAGAGCTCAGCCCTTGCTGTAATGATGGGAAAAAGACATGGCTGTTTATTTTGTCTTTTGAAGTTCTCGGCACAATTTAGCATGTTCCAGACCATCAAGGATCAGCTGGAGCAGCGAACACGGATCCTGCAGGCCAACATTCGGTGGCAGCAAGAAGAACTCCAAAAAATACAGGAACAGCTCTGCTTGGTTCAGGATTCCAGTATACAAGTAAGCCAGCCTCTGTGCAGAGCAGAACATTTTCAGATTTTGCAGCTGTGAGAATGGGCGGTTGTAAGTTTATTTTCACAGTCAAAGAATTCTGGGTTTGAGAAAACAGATTCAGTTGGTTTGGGAGTCATTCCAGGTATCTGCCAGTTGCAAAAAGGAAGGAAGAAATGTTAAGAGATCTCAATCTTGGGGTAGGGGAATGAAATGGAAAAGAATCTTCCAGCTTAGAACATCTTTTTAGAGTACCTTATTTACTGTGTCTTCAGATTGGGCAGCTCCAGTAAAAGGAGCCAGTTAAATCATCAGTGCTTTCACCATGCCTCCCCATGTCACTCCCTTTTTACCTGAAGTCTGAGCTACCAGTTCTTGGTATCAAGTCTCTTCCCACCTCTGCATTGGCTTACCATCTCTTCCCTACTCTTTCTTACCCTGTATCATACCATATACTTTAACCAACTTTGCCTTTCTCATTTTTTCCCTAAATTTATGCCACCTCTCCAGCTTGGAAGCATATCACAGGTAACATTTACCCAAAGCCCTTTTCTCATCACTTTCACAACACTGGTGAAGTCCACCTGTGAATCCTTCAGTCTGAAAAGACCACATGCTAATTTGTGTTTGTTCTTTACTAAACCAATTTGAACTTTTAGACTCAAGCCTCTTTCATTCTGGGACTCATCTTTTTGACACATTCTGCTTCACAAAACATATTACATACAGTGTGCAGGTATACTTATATATAGCCCTTCAAATAAATAATCCAAGTATGAATACAGTACATCTCAAGTAGCCTCAGTGAACAGATCCCCTCACCTTTCAGATTGCTTTTGGAGGTTTTCTAATGGCAGGAAGAATTACCTCTGTCTTCTTGATAATTTAACTAGAAATACTGGGTGAAATCATGTTTGGTTGCTCATGTTACACTTGTGATGAATCCATCCCATTCTGATGATCACATTCATAAGATTATGAGAGCACAAACACCATCACAAAATCTCTGAATATCCAAGTAATATCCGAATAAGGGTGAAATCTTGCCCCTGCTCAAGTCAGTGGAAGTTTTGCCATTGTGGGTCGGTAGTAACAGCAGGTCCCATCCAGGATTTGAGCCCCATTGATCTTGGCACTGTGCAAAACACAGGAAGATAACGTCTGCCATCAGTGTGCCTTTCCCATTACCTCTGCACTGGTTTTGATGAATGAGAGTTGAAAGTATCTCTACAATTAATTGGCCTTTTATTGCAGAATCCTATCAGACATCTGAAAGCCATTATTATTGCTATTGTGAATGTCAAGAGACAGAATTTTCTCCCTTTCTCTTTTTTTAATTGGGCACAAAGCATTACTCTCTCGTCATGAGCCAGATCACACAGCATTTTCTTCTCATATATGGGAAACTGGTGCAGTTTCACTTACATTTTTCAGCACATAGCATGCTGCCTAACCAGGGTATGGAATGACTGGAGTAGCCCACAAGATTTGCAACCTGGGTCCCACAGAGTTCAAGCCGAAAGACTTAAGAGGCTACCTGAGCACCTGTTATGGCTCCCAATTCTAAACTGTCCAGCCCAACCTTAGTTTGGAGATGCTGAAATGCAGTTCACTTTCATAACGTCCCTTAGTGGACATGTGCTAGACCTGGCTTGTCCAACATATGGCCCATGGGCCGCTATGCGGCCCACCAAGCTGTTTTCTGAGGCCCAAGGTGCTGCGACAGGAAACAAAAGTAAATGCTGTTGTCCCTCCCCCAGCCCCATAGCAGGTGACTGACAAACACGGACTACGAGGCAGTTGGCTGCCGGGTGACTGCTGATCCTCTCCGTGGGGGGAGCAGGGCCCCTCTCTCAGCTCCCCCGACTGCAGCCATGGAGGCCGGGACGGGTGAGCTCACACCAGGCAGGCGAGGAGGGAGGCAGGCTGCACATACGTGGCTGTGTGTGAAGACCAGGCTCCTTGTCCCGGATGGAGCCAGGCAGCGTCCTGAGGCGCTGCTTCTCCTCCTCCTCCTCGCTGCTACTGCTGGAAGCCAACAGCCAGCTGCTTCTCCGCAGCTTCCTCTACCTGGTGCTGTACACCCAGGTGTCCCAGGGCAAGCCTGCATTATGCTTCTTTCATTCATTGAGAAGTGAGTAGAAGCAAAAGTATTTATTTTAGTCAAGCACTGGGTATTATTTCATTGTTGCTTTTATATTGTTTTTATTTTGGATTTTAAACCACATTTCCAGACCCATTTCATTGTCACGTCCTGCAACTTCATGGGTGTCAAAGGTCACATGACATCACTTCCTGATGTGATACTGCTTCCTGTGAGGTCCTTGAATATGGCTCACCAGCCCACTGGGTGATAAAAAGTTCATGATCCGGCCCCACATTCAAAAAGGTTGGACACCCCTGTGCTAGACTGAGCCAAGTGGCATATATTTCAGAGCCCCAGAAAGGATTCCAAAGGTTATAAGGGTATTAAACTTCATAGATGTGGGTGCAACCTCTTAATTAAGATGTCTTAGGCCTCTAAATCCTGGAATCTGTAAGGAAAGAGGGGCAGGGGTCAGAGGAGTCTGAATAGACCCTCATCACATATTCTCCCCCTTAACATAAGTCCCGTGTCACTGAGAGATACAGAACATTGGGTTAAATGAACCTGAAGTCGAATCCAGTATGGCATTTCTTATGTTCCTATTAAAGTTTTATTTGCCAAGGTATTGCATTGCCTATCTTGCCAGCTTTGAACTTTTTGTTTGGGTTGGCAACAGCTCTGTGGTATGGTGGCAGAACAGAAGTGTGCCACCCTATGCAATGCTGTCAGACATACCTCACTTACTCTTCCCCCCACCCCCTTATTAGCCACAGGAATGAGATAATAAGCAATAATAACTGTGACTGTGACCTCCCTCAGGTTAATTTTGTGTGTTGATGTTCTTCCATTTTCTCAGAAAAATAAAGTACTGTGTCCTTACACAAAGGAACAAAATAGTAGTAACAGGAGTTATAGTAACATCAGTCAGACCCTTACAACTCCATTTCAAAAAGAAGATATTTATTTTTGCAGCTACAGTTTTGTTCCCACAACCAATTGTGGAGTAAACAGTTGACTTGAGAACAAAATAAACTACCTGCTTTGTAGTGCAGATTTCATAGGTCAGGTGGTTAGCTGTCTGAATTCAATTATCTGTGTCTATTATTGATTACAGCTACAAAAGTGGCTAATACACAGAGAAGAATTACCATTAGACAGTATTCTCTCTCTCTCTAAGGGAAAATAGCTATGTAGAGGACACAGGTATGCCTGTTGTAAGCATGGAGAAACTTTTGTGGATTGGAAGAAAGGGAATGTGTACTACAGTCTCCACTTTCTCCCTTCAGCTGTTTAAGTGGCATTTCTTCTCCATTTTCACTCCTGTCCATGATGAATGGCACAGATAGCTCTGTGAAGAATCTAGCCCTATTTCCATTTCACACAGAGGATTTTTAGAACTGGAGTGCTGAAGTCAGCCAAGAAATACTCTCCCAACTGGAGTGACATTGAGCATAGTATGCTACATTAAGTAACTGTTTCCAAGAGCCCTGTGTGTTGAAAGATGAAACTAGCAGGAGGGCTGTGGTTCTTGAATAAAAGTGTTCAAAAAACCATTAAATCTCTGCTACTGCTTTTACTGACAAATGAAAGTATTACGAAGAGGAGCAGTAAGTATAATCTCAGATGTCTGAAAGGATGCAGTGTCTGTTCCAGATTTAAAAATAGTCAAGCTAATGACTAGCATATTGGAGGGAAGGCAGAAAGACTGAATCTGACCAGCATGCAAGAATTACAAATGAGAACATCCATATTAACCAATAATTTACAAGCAAGTCTCCATTGGAGGTAAATTAATCTCAGAGTCTTAGTGCTGGGCCTTTCATCTTTACACATTTTACAAAAAGAAATAGTATTGATTGAAGTTGATGGCTTGGTAGGCCTGGAGTTTAAAATCCTCTTTATCCAAAAAAAAGGTAGAGTTGAACAGCAGCAGTAGAAGCTTTCTTAGATTGCCTTACAAATGTGATACAACCATGAGCTGGAGAGACTATATCTAGGAGTCAGAGGGCAGATGTATCTTCATGTCCACTCACTCTTTGGCTCCTACCCTGAGAATGCATCTGAGCTTGCCAATTAAGAAAAATTTGCAAGATATTTTGCTGACCTCACACTCCACAAGAACAGTCATGAGACATGTCATTATATGGAGTGCAGATACAGGGTTGTTAATTTATTTGCTTGGATTAGCTCAGACTAGGAACGAGGGGTTTCTTTCTTTGTGGGGCTTTAGTAGCTATTTACAGCTGTGGTATTACAGTACTGAAGAGGAAATCAGACTCGGCTATCAAATAAAATGCTTTCTGAAAACAGGACTACTAAGTGTTGTACAAACTAGAGGTTATGTTCTTGTAGAACTGTCCACTGAATTCATTCATCCAATGCTCCTTTTGTATTTATAAGCCATTATTCTTCTGGTACCCTCAGGTGCACGAGTCAGATAGTGCTAGTTGTACTGGTCTGACGCTCATTTTTCTAGCTCTTTTGTGTTTAGATACAATGTATGTATCCAAATCCAAGATGACTTTGAGTTTAAGATGACCCCTGCCCCCAGAATTAGATTCTATACATGGAAAATTATGAATTTCTCATACTTCTCCATATAAAGAATCTAATTATTGGATTCATCCTTCCCTTACTGCTGCAGCAGGGAAAGCAGCAACAGAAGGGCAAGCAGTGGGGAGGCAAGTGGCAGGGGACAGGCAGCCTGACCCTGGACTCTTCTCCCCCTGCATCTTGTCTCCATGCCATTTGCTGCCCCTGTCAACCCCGTGCTTACCCCCCACCCCTCACTTTGTCTCCCCTGCACATACATACTTCTCCCTCCTACCTGCTCCTGCCTGCTTGCCTCACAACCTTTGCTTGCCCCCCAACTACCGCACACTGCACTCAGGTGGTTCTGTGCTGAGTCCCTGGCTCATCAGGGAGCAGTGCAGGATCCAGTGCACAGTTAGAGAGTGGCAGGGGAATCATTGCAGAGCCAGGGAACAGTGAGGTAAATCAGCCCAGAGCCAAAGAGCAGCAAGACCCAGAACTGATTCTTTTATCACTCTAGCTGCACTCTGGATCCTGCTGCTCTCTGGCTCCATGGTGATTCCCTAGCTGCTTTCTGGCTCCCTGCTGAGTCAGGGAGCTGTGAGAGAATCAGCCCAAGTCAGAGAGCAGCAAGACCCAGCATGCAGCTAGAGAGTGGTAGGGGAATCAGCACTAGATCTCAGGCTGCTCCATCTCCAGGGCTCCCTGGCTCAGCAGGGAGCTTGAGAGCAACAAGGGATCAGTCCTGAGCCAGCACTCCCTGCAGGTACTGCAAGATAAGATGAGGCTTCATCTTTTCCAGGATGAATCAGGAAAAAATGTCTTGGAATCAAATAAATACAATAATAATGCTGCTTGAGCCAGTGTTATACTATACCACAGTGTACACCTCTAGGGCAGGCTATCAAGGTGTGTCTGCACTGTGCTGGGCAGTGCTCAGAAGTGTCATCATGAAAACAAGCCCTACCCTCTTGCTCCTGCTCTCCACATGCTTTGTGCTAAAAAAGTGCATTGGAGATGTTATTTGTTGAGGTTCTCTTAGGCCCCTGCCACATGTTACACTTAAGATGTCATTAACCAGTTAATCACATCTTAAGTTGGGACCCAGTTACTTGTTCAATCAATTAATGGTGTGATACAACAAGGAATAAGCTACAGAGTTATTCGACAAAAAATGGTTCCTATCACACCAGTAATTGAACATGTAGTCTAGTGTGCTCCTGTGGCTTAGAGCCCCATCAGCTGATCAGAGCTCCCAGTAGCAGGGGAGCATGAGCCTGCAGCTGATACAGGCTCCCAGCTGCAGGGGTGCACCGTGCACCCCTGAGGCTGAGAAACCTAGGTCAGCTGATCCTGGCTCCCAAGGGTGTACCCACAGCTGGGAGCCCCATCAGCTGTGGGAGCTTGTTACCTGCTGGTGCAGGGGGAGCCCAGGAGCCCATCAGCAATAAGGGCAATGGGATCTGATACACAATACCACAGTCGCCTCCTGCCATACGTGTGTGACATGGCAGGAAGCACAATTGTGTGGATCATGCATGAGATCCCATTGCATCTTTACCTGCACTTCTGGAGGGGTCCTTAGGCCCAGGTATGCTTAAAAAGTGTGAGGGTGGGGCATGTTACTATAGTTGCCCTCCTGAACACTGCCCAAACAGTGCAGATGTGCCCACAGTGTTTTGCCCTGAGGTTGTCAAAGAAATACTTTTATAGACAGCCCACCACCAGGCATTCTTAAGACAGCCCAAATATGTCCCTCTCTTCTCTGCCCCTTTTTTGTTGGAGATGGTTCTGCCAACTGTCAGATCTCTTCATTATTTATTCTTGTAGTCCATTTTACTGAAAATAAATTGTATATTGATGTCTTTTGAAAGCTGTTCAGTTTGCATTGGATGTGCTTACTATTGTTCCAGCATTCTGCTCCATATAGGGAGGATGCTTATGATGCTGCTTCTAAATATCTTAAATTTGGTGTTCCTGCTAATCATGCTAGACTTCCATACCTTATAGAGAGGTTTTTTTAAATACTTGCTTTTACAGAGTTTGAACCTTACATCACATGCAGTCACCACCGTCATGACTAATGCAGATAAGTAAATGTATTAGCCATTTTTAAGGCTTCACCTTCCAAATAGATAAAATCATTAGGTAAATTAATTTTCATAATGACCATCTTTGATTTATTAATAATAAGACCTTTTTGCCTGGCAGAATTTGCAAGACCATCTGTCTTTCTGATGACTAATGGCTACAAATTCAATGAAGTGTTATGAAAAAGAAAACACTGAGCTAGACTCAGACCTGCCATTACCACGCATAGCTTCATTACTTGATCCTCCCATTTATTACACACTTTGTTAAGATAGTATAATCCTACAGGGGGAAAAAATACCACTAGCATTATTCCTTTCAGAGCCATCAGCATTTCTAGTCAGTGCTTCTTGTTTTTTAATATATGGGTTTATAATTTGACTCTACCTCTGGGCTGCAGCTTGGTATGCATAGGCAGCCAGGGAATGGATCTTTTTTATCCCCAATAGAGAAATATCCAAATAGTTCTGAACTTTTAAACATGTTTTAGTGTTTAAAAAATAGCTAAATATGTACGGATATGGTGGGCAAAAACATTATTACACAGAGGAGAGAGAGTTTATCATGTCCAGTGGGTTGCAGAAGTCTGTCCCAAAAAAATGATAGAAGACTTAATCATTCAGGGATTTGTTAATATAACAGTAAGCCTTACAAGCTTTGTATATTACTAAGCATACTGCAGAGATGGTGGGACCCATAAGGTTAAACACTATTTGTGATCCTAACCTCAGTTTAATCATGGCACCCTCTGTGTAAGCAAATGGTGTTACACAAGCATAAAACTGGTGTAAAATCAGAATCTAACCCAAGACAGGGAACAGGTTACCCATAGAGGTTGTAGGCTCTCCATCTTTGGAGGTTTTTAAGATCTGGGTAAACTAAGGCTTGGCTGGGATGATCTAGTTGGGGATGGTCCTGCTTTTGAGCAGGGGGTTGGACTAGATGACCCTCCAAGGTCCCTTCTAGCCCTCATTTTCTATTATTCTATGAAGACTGCCTTCAGCTACCTGGTGAGTACAACTGCATAGCCTGTAGTGTGGCATCTTGCTCTATGAATTGGATTTTAAACACTAAAAAGACTGGTAGCATTAATAATGTATTGTTCAAAAATATTGAGTGTTTTCTTTGTATCATTATAACAGAGTGACATAGCTTACAGAGAAAGACCTCCCAGAAATGAAAGAAACTGTAATACAATAATTGACCTTAAATCGTTCATGGAAGCATTTAGTAGAGAGGGTCTGTTAGATTTCCTGCATGGTGTTAAGTGCTTCTCATGTCATAGCCAGGAAGAACAGGTGATGGTTATCTGCCTGGAAGTTAAATCACAGTAGAGTGATAAGTACAATGCAATGCTGGGAGTTGGTTCCTGGCTGTGACACAGTTAAAAAGAATCAGGGAGAGAATCATATAGGGTGCTGAACCATGAGGAACAAATTTTAATGCAGCTTTAGCCAAGGAGCAAAAGGAGATGTATGACGTTACTCTCCCATCCCTAGCGCTTGCTCCTTTGTGCACTTTGAACTGCTGCTGTCTGTGTAGAGACGGAACATCAGCTTTCAGGACACATTTGATAAACCATGAATACACTTGAAAAATAGAACACAGAGCCTGCACAAAATTTTTTATCTTACAAAGGGCATATAGTTCCCAATTAACTTTTGCAGAATAGTAATTAATTCAGAAATGGATCTCTGCTATAGAATGTGATGTCTTAAGAATATATATAAAGTTTGGGGGAAAAAATAACATTTTTTTCTTTCTTCTCCAGATGTTCTTACAGCAGCCAACAGTAACCCTGAGCTTTAGCAGTGCACAGCAGCCAGATCCTCAGCAGTTACAGCCGAGGTCAGGGGTCATCTCTCAGCAGCAGCTTCTCCCCAGTCCTCAACTTCAAGGGCAAATGACATCTTCTCAAACAGCAAGCCAGCAAATTTTAAGAGAGGGGAGTGTGATATCAAGCCAGGTAAACATTTTATTTGAATGAAATGCAGGTAGCACGAATGTACTAAGTCACTACTGAATGATCACATAAAAAACCACGTCATTGCTATAAATAAAATGTGGGTCCCTTTTCATCTCTCTTTCTTCTTGAACAAAGGCTTCTTCCCACAGGTTTTCAACATTAAGAACTTTCTTTCTTTCTTTTTTTAAAGATCTAAACCAGAACATTATGCAGCCAGATGTTTCATTTTTAGAACAGAATTGAGCATGTGTTAGGAACTGTAAATTACTTGTTTTTCTTTAATTGTTCATGAAAGATGTCAGACTGGGAGCCTGGACAGCAGTCCATCTTTCCCAACACCCTCTCAAAAATGTGCCTCAGCACTGTCCTTGAGAATAGTTTGCTCTGTGTGCCCATTCAGTTCTGGCCACAGGTTGCCAACACAGCTGATATATTTCCAGTAGTGTTGGTGTATCAATAGTATGTGGGACTTGCACAAAAGAAACTGAACTGAGATCTCCAGTTCACAGATGTAACTGACTCCAGCACAGGGAAGTAAAGTTCAGCTCTAAGTATTAACAGTTGAAGGCAGTGAAGCTGCAACTGTGCTCAGCACAGATTTGTTTTCCTTTTCGCAGATTTTTTTGGAGTATTTCCATTTTTCCTATTTCAACATAACCCAGCACACTTCCCTTTATAACATTCAGCCCTGATTCTTGCTAGCCTGATCTTGCAGTTCAGTGAACAACATACTTACAGCCTTATGTTCAGACCAGTCACCCTTTTAAAGTAAAATGTTACTGTGTATTGTAAATAGTTTTTAAAAATCAATTTACACTTAATAAGGTTTATCACAATTTCTGATTTTTTATGACAAGGGTGAATCTCTTCTAACTGCCTTTCTGGTTCCTTAGAGTCATCTTTACCTCCAAAACTGCTCCACAGAATTAAAGGGCGTGCTTTGTTTTCATAATACATTGATTTCAGAGTCAAGTACTCTGCAGGCAAGTAAAATAAAAAGGGTGCAATGCTGTACAAGAAAGGTATAATGGATTACAAAATATTAGCGTGTCTAGCAACTGCCTCCCACATGTACAGACACACCCAAGATTTAATCATTAAGGTGATACTTTTCTTACAAGACGAGACTATATTTTTAAGTTTTTCTCTAAAAACTGGTCATAGGTTACCACCTGTTTTCTTGCCCATTTTCCCTTTGCTTCCTGTCATTTTCCTATGCAATTGCATTCAGACCATAGTCTGTCCCTAGATGTCCAAAAACAGTTAGCACAATCGGTGTTTAGATTTACATTTTAAAAGTTCATTAAAATTCTTATCTAGGGTCAGAAATTAATTCGAAGTGCGCAGATGGGACAAAGTAGCAGTCATTCATCCAGTGGCTTAGCTTCACAATTCAGCACGTCTGCATTGCTCTCACAGACTGTGAACATGGCTCCACCTGCTGCTGTAGCCCAGGATAGCAGTCCGTGTCATGCCAGTCCAGATTTCAGCCATGACCGACAACTAAGGTAAATGCTTTTTAACTAACTGAATGATTTTGTCTTGAAGCCAGAGCTGTGCATTTGCACCTGGGCAACACAGCAAATCAGGATTTGGAGCACTAAGGCAATGGGAAATGAGAGGTACTTTTATTATGACTTATATAAACCAAAGTTTTATGAAAAAAAAGCAGATTAAACAAACCAGTAGGCCATTTAGGCCTAGCCCATGACTTAGGGTGTGTGTTCATGCTGTGGAGTGAGGGTGAGTAGTAATACAAATCCCTTCCTTCCCAAAATGTATTTTTAGGCACAGCCCTGAGCAAGGGGTAGGATGCCCTGGGAGTAGTAGCTCCAGCAGGCTGTGCGCCACTGAGACATGGAGGGGTAGGTTGTAGCCATGTTGGTCTAAGGGCATAGGCGGACAGGGTTCCTTGGGTAAATCCGATATCTTTTATTAGACCAGCTCAAATACTTGCAAAGAAGAATGTTTCCAACTATTTGAGTTGGTCTAACAAAAGATACCGGATTTACCCAAAGAAGCTTGTCTGCCTCTAACACAGAGCGTCATAATCTACTGGTAGTACAGAACAGTAGAAATCATTCCTTTCCCTTGGCAAGAGAGAAGAAAGGATGGCATTGTGCCATCCTTTGAGGGGTGTCTTTGAGGCACCCAGCCTGCTAGGCTACTTCTAGGTAGAGCATCTTTTACCCTACCCCTTGCTTGGGCTTTACCTAAAGGTACAGTCCAGGCACAAGAATTTCATTTTCTAAGCAATTACTTCTGACAGTCCCAGACATGCAAATGATTAATTTTGAATTTAGCATACATGATCCAATTGCCTGATGTGCCTGTCTGGCCTGTATGTGGGATACCTAGCAGTATGCTTTACACTTGTGCTAAGATATCTTCTATTTCCCAACTTGGATGATTGATCAAGGACAACACTCTGACATGTATCAGAATATCAGTGTCAGAGTTAGTAGGGTTCATGATAAATTTCCCCAGATCTCAGGAGACAATTAGAATATGTGGAAGCCGTGCTAGACACAGCTCTATTCAAAGCCTTCCCCAGAGCAGGAGCCTAACATTACCAGGCTGGCAGAAAGTATACTACTGATAAGCAAGAGCAAGGAGGTAACAGCTTGAATTTTGGTGTGAATGAGGTTACTCCTGTAACTCTATTCATGTGATGTATCTCCATAGGAATGCAAGCAACATGGGGGGCATCTTGAATCCTGTGTGGTTAATAGACAATTACTTAGTCTCTTTGGGGTGATGTCAGTACTGGTGCAGCATGAAAATAGGAATGGGCTTCTGTTTGTCTCTGGGAAAAGGCATAGTAATCTCAGGTGAGATCAGCCTGGGATCAGGAGCACATGTATGGAACATGGGTAGGAGTTCCTGAGTTTTTAGCCTGTGTTGAGCATAAAAGCGTAGGCTAAAATCAGTGGCCCCAGGGAATGCAGATCCAGAAAGTGACTCCAAGTCTTCTGACTTGTGACTTGTTCCCCACCCTCAAAACCATTTGTCCTATTTCAGTATATGACATTTGTTCATTGTTTTGTTAGAGTAATATCATTTCTCCTCTTTTCCATGTTCAAGACTGCTGCTCAGTCAACCTATTCAACCAATGATGCCTGGTTCCTGTAATGCAAGACATTCTTCAGATGTCAGTGCAGCTGGATCCCAGACTAAGTATGTTACTGAAAAATAAAGCACCTTAGTGATTTTGAGGGGAGCTGACCTTTAAGTTAGAAATCTACTAGTGTTAGTAAACATCAGTAGTGTGCACATACCTTTTTGTCCTGTGACGTGCCGGAGATCTGCTGCTTGCAGTTGTATAAGAGGCGAAATGCACGTCAGTGCACAGAAAATTGCAGCAGTGAGCTTTTGAACTAAAGTACCTCTGAGGTGTTTTAGTTCAAAAGCCCACCACCACCATTTTCTCAGCGCTGGCATGCATTTCACCACTTATACAACTGCAAGCGTTGCAGCACCAGGCACTTTTCAAACCACCCAGCACTGCAGTGCGTGCACACGTAAAAATGCTGTTAGTGTGTTGATGCTGACTCTCAATGCCAACCTTGCTGTACTGGGCCAGTTCACTATTTAAAATTGCTACTATGAGAAATAGAATGTGCCAGTGGATTTTAAACAAATGATGAAAAAAGACCCTTTTTTATTTCTCTCTCACACTACTTACATCAGTGATGTTTCTGATCCACCAAAGCTTAGTGAGAAAGAAAACACATTAAACATTTGACCTCTGTTTCAGTGCTGACCTACTGGAAATTGAGGGCTCGATCTCTCACTCTAGTGCAGTGATTCTCAGTTTAGAGTGCCATGGCACCCTGGTTTCTATTAAATCCTTTTCAACGTGCTGCAGGCTTCTGCACAAGATTAGCACTGTCGAGTATGCAAACACTTTCACATGATTCACAAAATAAACCCAGATATTTCAAATAGGAATCTATAGCATCAAAACGATTCTGCGTGGTTGTGGTCTTGCTGAGTTCTCTTCAGCAGAACAATTGCTTTATTACTTTTCTGTAATCAGTGAGTGAAAGCTGAGAGGTGGCATTTTCCAAGAGGTGCCTCGAATCTAATGAGGTTGAGAACCACTGCTCTAGTATGACACCAGCGTAACTCTGGGTGCAGACAGGAGTGACAATTTTTGCCTGATCTGGACACAGAAAGCTGCCTGTCGCCATGACCAAACACAAACATACGACTGCAGACAGCTTAAAAAATGACAGATCAGGCGAAAATCTGAACCCTCATTGCATAAAGGGTCAGATTAAGACATTTCAAAACAGAGCATCTTCTATAACTTCTGTCTGTGTTGCCTGCCAACCTTGAGCTGTTTTCAGAATGGAAGTGGGGAAAGAGAGCGGAGGGAGTTCAGTCTGAGGTTTTTTTCAGAACCTGCTGGAGGGTGGGGTGGGTGAGTTGGCCCCAAAAAGAAAAAGTGTTATTAGTATTGAATCTAGCATACATGATCCAATTGCCAGGTTGGGGCAGGGGGCAGGCATTAATTCACCTGCCCCACCCTCCAGCACCGGTTGGGAAACCCCTAGAACCAGCTCCGTCTGCTTCCTTTCCCCCCTCCCTTTCTTAAACAGAGACATGCTGGGAAGGAGCAGGGACCATTGCTAGGGAAAACCAGCTGCAGGCAGGTAGTCATTAGCTAGATTCCTCTCCCTTCTGGAACCAACAGTGAACTTCTGTTTGATCCAGGGGATCATTGCAACTCAGAATGCTTCCTACAAACCATTCTCAATTACAGTGGGGAGCTGCACTTCTGTCTGCACCCTCTATTGACCTCAGTAATCTCATTAGGTTTTAGAAGATAAGCAAAGTTAGGCTTGGTTAGTAACAGCTCTCTTGTCCTTTTGCAACAAGCCTTCAGAAAGAGTAGGGCACAGGAGTACCTCCCAGGAGCAGACTGGGAACAGAGTTGTGACACTTGAGTCACAGTCTTGTTTCTAACCCTTCCCTTCTCCTCTGGACCATTCCTGTTATCTTGCTTTAAGGGAGTGGTGCTCAAACTTCCTGCCCCCATGGCATGGGGTTAGTGCACTGACCAGATCCCATGTGAGGTTGCCACATGGGGTTATACTGGTCAGTCCAGTATACTGCCTGGCCCTGTGTGCCAGATGTAGCTTCTTGTCGGCCTGACCCCATGGCTAGTCTGACTCTGTGTACTGGCATGGATCCAGCTGTGTGCTGGCACAACCTTGCATGCCCAATCAGGCCATAGAGCGACCCTGAGTGCCAGCTTAGCAATGTGCTGGTGCTGGTCCAGGACCAGCACAGGACCACGTTATCTGGCCCACAAGGCTCCACTCAGGTCCAGAAATTTGACAATAGGGAAGCAGCAGTTAACACTGCTAGCACTATCCAGCTGCCAAATTTCCAGATCATGGGGAGCCCCGTGGGCTGGGTGATATGTCTCCATGGGCTGGATCTGACCTGTGGACCAGAGATTGAGAACTGGTGCTTTAAGATGACCCCAGTAGGATTGGAGATGCCTATGAAAAACCAAGGAACTGCAAGGATTTAAGTAGATGCTTCATTATATGGCATTCTAACCTCTGTTTCAGTCATTAGCCAGTGCACCCGCAAGGTGTGGTGGGGAACAGACACATTGTCTTTTAAGTGAAACTGAGGTCCTAGTCATTAAAGGTCCCAGGGGGCTTTATTGAGGGTAAGGATGATCCTGTATCCTGACAGAACATCTTTCTTAGCAATTTAACTAAAAGCTGTTTATTCTTCACTTCTTTTATTTAGATACTCTCAAAACCAACAAATGTTTCAAAATCTGGAAGTACAGACTTCCAGCAGTGGCTCGCCGATAGTATTGATGGGACAAGCGGTATTACACCAAGGGTTCTCTGCAACGCAGCCTTCTCAGCCATCCTCTCTGCAACCTATGCAACTCCAACATCAACAGCATCAGCAGCAACGCTACCTTCAGGTAGGGTGAAATAAAAGAGATAATACGCAAAATATACGAATGCAACAGTACTGTGAAAAGTAGTAAGGAACACAGCATTTTTAGAAGGTAGAACAAATGGGACCACCCCATTGTCTTTCACACAAGTATTAGGGAAATGGATTCAGCACTTATAAGCCTTTCAAATATATCAGTGTAGCAGCTAGCGCTATCGGAGTATGTTAAAAAATATTCTACAGCGTTAACCCGAAGTGTATTGAAAGGGCATTTAGTGTCAGAAAACTGCACTCATACATATTAGTCTCCCATTGATTCTATAAATATTTCTTAGCTTACATGTCAAAAGATTGTTTTTCTAACTGCCAGTACCTTCCACGTAAAATCAAAAATGAACATTCAGGTTTTCTTTTTTTCACTCTTGTATGCTATCATGTCCTGCAACAAAGTTTCTGAAGTTGGAATTTGGATAGCAATGTAGTTGTTGAGACTCTGCCCAAAATAGAATTTAGCTACCAAAGTGCTACTCTACTAACAGGAATAAGCCAATACACTTGTGCCAATACAGTTAGAAAATATATACTTGCAAGAAGTAGATATGCCACATAGGAATATATTGTTTTTATATATGCATGTTCTCACCATAATGTTAAGTACAAAGGTACTATGCTTGAAAAGGCAGAGTTTAGTTATTAGTTTCATCAGTTTGGTTATCCCCATAGAGTTTTAAGATTTGAAAAGGCTTTAAATAAATACAGCTGTTACTCTCAGGTCCATCTCCCACAGATGTCTTAAGAGGTGTCAGAATTTTTTGTATAATGGTAAAGTGCATGGGGAAAAAAGAGCCAAAATGGAGCTTGTAAGCCAAATTCTACACTTAACTCAGATCTGCAACGTCCACTGAGCGGAGCGGAAGAGTACAGAAATGGCCATTTATAAACATCAACTCACTTCATGTAGTATTTTTAGATGCATGTCAGGCAAAGGATTTCAATGGCTGCCAGTATTAGAATGTGAATAACCACATCACTACTTCAGCTAAAATTCCTGTATTAAATCCAAAAGCCAATAGCTGTTGTGCAGTTATTTCAGTACCTACTACACATTAGGTAGAAATGTTACAATATTTATTAATGATCACATTCACAGAGTATTTCCAGTTACAAGCATTTGTATTTTGCTTCTTCAGGAGGTAATACAGGCCAAAAAAATGGAGTTTATGGGAATGACCAAGCTGATGAAATACTTATAAATAATGTGTTTCTTGCTCCATTTTTTCCCTCTAGATTTCTCATTACATTATCATCTGAGTGCCAGAAACTAATCAGACCTAGCCCAAAACTTCCACACATACCAATCTTGTTGTTCCCAGTACACACAACCTTCTTCTTACTTTCTTTATTCTTGGTGGTGTCCTTCTAGATGCCCCAGAGTCAACATTTGGCTTACCAGTTTCCTTGCTATTGTTGCTATTGTTTTGCTTTTTCACCTTCCTTTTCTTCTGTACTAGCATAGTGATGACTTATTAGTTTTCATAATAGAGGACTTATTTCTCAGACTTCATCCTACGAATGCTAGCATTTTCACTATCTGTCTGTCTCTCTGGTTAAACTTTGGCTTCCTGAAAGACTGCCGTGCTTGTACCTGATGTGATAAAACATGCCATCATCTATTGCATAATTATAGCATGTTTCATAATGTCTACAGTCAGAACCAGAGCATTTTATAGTGATGGGTAGGAGGTGAGGCATCAAGATTCCCAGGCTCTGTTTCCAGCTCTGCCATAGTCTTCCTGAGTAAGCTAAGACACTTTTCAGTGCCTGATCTACTTGCCTGAAAAATGGAAGGAGTACTAGCTATTGTAAGTAGTAACTAGTTAACATTTGTAAATGCTCTCAGGTCCTTGTTTGAAAGATGATAAGGATGAACAAAGTATTATAGTTATTATTAAATAAATTTCCAAAAGAACAAAGAAACACTTCTGTTAGTATGCTTGTACAATGCAGTTGGATTGAACCAGACATGGATTGATCAGATACTCAAGTCAAATGCCAGTTTCTAAATCTTAGGTCAGTATACCGTGCCTACTAGTGGATTTCTTCTACCATGTGGACTCATAACTTCTGTTCTGCACTGTACTTCTTTCCACAGTGGAAATAGGCCTTCAACCTGAATAGGTATTCTGTTCTCATGGTAGATCTCTGTTTAAATAACCAAATCCCAGTTTTTCATTTTTTGCCTGTATTGCCTCCTGAAGAAGCGAAGTACAAAATAAGAGTGTAATGCCTGAAAGAGCACAAAAAACGCACAAAAAAAGGTTTAAGCCAGCAAAGAACTATTATCTGGGCTAATATAGTACATGTTGAAGTTCATGGGAGTCTTTCTGTTACCTTTAAAGACTGCTCAGTTGAGCCTGTATAGCCTGATCCAAAACCTGATAAAATCACTGGAAAGACTCCGACTGATTTCAATGGCCTGTGATCAGACCCATATTGCAGACTGGAACTGATGGAAAAACTACTTCTGGGCTGTCAGACAGATTTCATTCCCCTGAAAGTCAATTGCAGAACTCCTCTTGACTCATCATGCAGGATGAGGCCCTCTTAGCCAAGCTAATCAAACACCAAGTACACAGCCTGAAAATTATTTAACCTTAGAAATAACAGCCTGCGAACAATGGACTTTTTCAACTAACCTTCAAATTAGGAAACGGGAGTTTTAGTTTGTAATAAAGTCAGATCATAGATGTGAACTGTGTTTTATCTGTAGGTGCAGACACCAAGTTCTTTGCACAATGAGCAGCCAGATTCTTTGCTCCTGCCCTCCTACTCGCAACAACAGAGTAGCATGGGATACCATCAGACTCAGTCCCAGCAGCCACCGCAGCAACAGCTTGCCCCCAGACGAACCAATAGCTTGTCAGACTCATCAAATTTACCACAGCCACTACGATAAGAGTCCCACCAGCACAATCAGTGCACAATTAGCTTTAACCAATGGGTGCATGGGATGGGAGAAGAAATGATGTTGTATGGATGGATTTGGCTTTTGCACAAGCATTTCCAAGTTCCATGATAGAAGCCGACCACCGAGTGCCAGCTGCAGCAGACAGTGCAATAGGAATGGTGCAGGATTCTGTTTGCACTCTTTCATTAATCTGCTGTGTGCTTTCATATGAACTGAGGAAAAATAAAGTGAACGCTGTCCTGTGGAAACTCCCTCACTCTTCAGTGTGCATCAGGAGAAGATTCTTTGCGGAAGAGCATTGTGAAAGCACATCGCTGGCTCCAAAAAACTGTGGACAGACACCTGAGGTACTTGGCATTCAGTTGAAACCAATTCTTCTTTTGCATATGAAAAGCACTGGGTCAAAGGTCTATTGAGGAGAGAACAAGAGATTATTTTTATTATGATTATTATTATTATTTTGCACAACTGCACACAAAACATAACCTAGGCACTTTCTGTAAAGAGAAGTTTGTTTCCTTATTCTGGTGGCCAAACTAGCACATCCAACGGAGCGGATAGCCCGGTCATTGTTAAAAGATGCTCTACAATCCATCCCCCTTGACTTACACCCTGAAACCTAAAAGTATTAAGCAGTTTACCTTCCCTACTCTTTATAATGAGAAATAAAAAACACTGGACTGTTTCCTATTAACTCTGAGAATGGTGACTGCAAAGGAGATGTTAAAATATAAGCACAATCATACAGCACAGTTCCCGAATTCTAGTCAGGCTTTTGATCGTATGAAGTGGGACCCCTCTGCAAATGAAACAGCCTGTTCACAGCAAGGATCTGAGGAATATGCACTGTGTTTTGGCCCATTGACTGGGGATGCTGCAAACTATTACATATCTCTTTCATGATAACAATTAGGATTGAATTTTCCTTTGAAAAAAATGCACTTTTCGCTTTTTTGTATGTTTTATGTTGATATGTTTCTAAGAAAGATTTTATGTAATTATTAAATAAAAGTAGTGTATTGTACAGCTGTTGTAATAATGACCTATTTCTATATAAAATAAAATTATATGGAATTATGTGGAAATTATTTTGTATATGAAATATCAACTCATTTCACAAGTATAAAGGTTTTGCTTTGTGCTTCTTTTGTGAGTGGATATTTTGAATAAATTAATGAATCAGTAACATTTTTGTGGACGGCGCTTATGCTGTATACATCTCCATATCCATTTTTTTTCATTTAGTAATACACATTTGCATTTAGCTCAAGAGTAATATAAAATAGCTGAAAGGCTTTAGTGCAGAATTTATGCATGTTTTCCTATAGCTGTTCAACTCTGTGATTCAGTTTAGGCTTGAAATTCTTGCTGTAGCCTTGCAAGGTGCTTGATGTTGAATTAACAAGAAAAAAAACCGACTCTATCAGATCTTTGTTTCACCATAGACAACCAGAATAATACTGCTTAGGGAAGCTACAAAGGATAACAACAGTACATGGTACTCAGAGGAACTGGTTCCAAATCAGGAAACAGCATTTCACTTAAAGGTCTCAAGGGACTGTGGGCTCGCTAGGTGGTTACTGTAGAGCAGGTAACGAACACAAGACTGGAGAGCAGATGGGAGTCAGCGTCTACCTTTTCTCATCAAGTCAAATCAGTCCGAGGCCGCTGCGACTGTTGGGGCACCTTAGATGCTGTGCATCATCTGTGATTCTTCAGGCAAAGTGACCTGGTAGCGCCCATCCCCTCTCCAGGTATGGATGGCTGTTGGCTTACAGTGAGCTCATCTGCCCTTTGACAGGTCTTGCTTTTAGTCCTGCTGGGTCCCCACACACCCTACTTACCCAGGCTAGCCCAAGGTGGAGGCTCCAGTTTAGTCACCAACAACCCAACCATGGCACAGGCTGTACTGATTTACATGGTACCAGATAACAAAAAGAGAGGCCTGGCGTGACAGTACCCTTTCTCATACTCTGTCCCATTTCTCCAGGTGCTAACTAGACTATTTTGGGTGGCCACAATGCACTCTCTGTCATGGGCTTATGCTATGCCAGGTCACCATTGTAGGCTGTCATGCTGTACTACTGGATGATAATAGAGACATCTCTCCTACTGCTCTTGATTCCTGGAAGCAGGAAGAGTAATAAAAGGAGCAATTGCACCCAAACACTTCTGGAAGCAGGAAGAGTAATGGAAGGAGCAATCACCTGACCATGAAGTAAAGCTAACACATCCCTTTTGTATAAGAGTACTAAATTAACCATGTTTTGAAAGGGAAAAGGGTCACTCTTCCACTGCCCTGCTCTTGCCTGGGTTGCTGCTATAAGCTGGGCACGTCCCTCCATTTGTCAGTCTCAGCTGTAAAACCACTGCTGGAGCCTGCACCCTCCAGAACAACTCCTGCAGAGGGAAGACATTACATGTGGCCTGGGCTTGTGGGTGACCTGGTTTCAGAGTCCCCGCTAAATCAGGCAGAGGTGTTTCCCATAACCTGGGTGAGTGCCCTGACTTAGCAGGTGTTGGTTGTAGCGGTGTTGGTCTAAGAACACAGGCAGACAAGGTTCTTTGAGTAAATGTGATATCTTTTATTAGACCAACTAAATAGTTGGAAAATTTGTTTTCTGCAAGCTTTCGGCTACAAACACCCTTCTTCAGGCAGAGGGAAAGTTTACAGTCCCTCTATACTACTGTAGACTCTCCCTCTGCCTGAAGAAGGGCATTTGTGCCCATGCCTGAAAGCTTGCAAAGAACAATTTTTCCAACTATTTAGTTGATCTAATAAATATATCACATTTACCCAAAGAACCTTGGCTGACTTAGCAGTGCTGAGGTGATGCTGTAGCCTGGCTTGTCCAGGATATTTGAGAGGCACCAGTTTTTTTCATTGAACCCAAGTCTGCATGGGTAGGACAGACTCAGACCAGTTTTGGGGTATTGAATAGGGTTACCATATATCTGGGTTTTCCCAGGCATGTCCTCTTTTTGAGTCCTCCTATTTATGTCTGGGCAGGTTTTTCAAATCTGAGCAAATGTCCGGGTTTTTGCTTTGCTCCAGTGATGGGAGCAGGGGGAGAGATGATGGTAGGCAGGGAGCTGCAGGCAGGCAAGTGCGCCTGCACTCACCCTGGGAGCTGCAGGCAGGTAGGTCTGGGTTGGGGTGCTGGGGTTGTGGCAGGGCAGGGGGCAGAGTTGCCTCCCCCTCCAGTGGGGCAAAGGGATGGGTGCCTTTTGAGGGCTGTGGCAGGGCCAGCAGCACAGGGGCAGTGCCCATGCTTGTAGGGGCAGAGCAACCAGGAGACGCTGCAGGGGAGCAGGGGGAGGTGGGCTGTGGCCAGGCTTCCCGCCAAGATGCAGCAGCCCCAGCCCAGGGCAAAGGGTGTCACAAGCCTCCCTTCCTCTTCCCTTCAGCCTGCACCAGGGCCGGACTTGGTCCAAGGCACTGTACCAGGATGGGGCCCATGGGTCAGAAGGGGCAGTGGCAGGGCTGGGGGGAAGCAGGGGGCTGCAGGTTGGGAGTGAAGGGAACCAGCATGACCCAGGGGGCGGGGTACTGCGCTTTGGGAGTGAGGGGCACAGCAGCAGGGCTGGGGGGCTGTGGCTTGGGAGTG